AGAAAAAATACTCTTGATTCAATCGGATTTTTGCTTGAATCCAAACGCAATCCGCTTAAATGAAGAGGCTTGGTTCTTGATTTAAGCTAGATTCTAATTGAATCAAGAGTACTTTTTCTTGTCGATGTTTTTAAGAGTCTGGACTCAAGATCCAATGTGATTTTATTTCCAGTGTGTAGGTAAGTCAATAGTAGAATGCTGAAGCCCCGAAAGAAAAAGCTTCTACCATGGCTGACACTATTGGAGGGTCTCTTGTCTCTGGTTCCTTCGTCCGGCGAACAAGGGACTGACCCATTCGGCAACGTTGAAATATATATACGGCGTTGTTGCTTAGCACAGGTGCTTGGCTGTCGGCTGTTGGGCTTGCGGGTCGAGGACCTGGATTGCGTTTTCGGAGCCGGCTCTGATGCTGATTTCCGACTGATTCGAGGGGGCGGGGGAGGGGAAGGGGAAGGGGGGGCACCAGGAAATCCCGGGTCTCGTAAACTATCTATCCTCGGCCCATTTCCACGCAGGCCCGCGCCCGCCTTGCGGTTTCCGTCTTGGCCGAGAGCGCGCTAAATCGAGGCAACGCGACGCGCGACTTGGACCCGAGCGTCTGAAAGTGAAATTTTCACTTCGCTTTTACATCTGAGTCCATCTCGCTACATGCCACTATCATCGGGCATTTCGGATGCAGTCAGATTCAGGCGTGGAAGATAGGGTACAAATTTAAGCATTCTGAAAAACGCTACCTCTTCGAAACGTAGGTACAGTTTAACGTGATTTAATAAAAATTAAAATTAACTCCTGACCAAGATATTAATGTTTCTTACAGGCCGAACGTGGAAAGTGTCTGGCAAAAAATTGGTACTTCTACGGTACTTTTACTGGATCATTCATTTGATCGATGCAGATTACCCTGGATTAAAAAGTAATACTTTTTTTGGATTAGAATTTTTTTTTCTTTAGATTTTTTAGGTTTTTAGCTTAACATGTTTGTTTTTAGCCGCTGAGGAAGGGGTTAGTTTTTCGCCCCGAAACGTACGGTAACTTTTATACGTGTTTGCAGCTTTTATCCCAAATTTTTTTGTGTCATCTTTTGTAATACTTTGATTTACACACTGCGCCCATGCATAATATTCGACAGCAAAATTTATAAAACGCATACACGACACGCAACAGACCGAAACAAAACAAAAACAAACTGTTACATGCAATATGCATTCTAAACACGTTCCAACCTACACGTGCAAATTCGGACTGCAAAAATAAGGCACATCAATGGCAAAAAAAGAGAATTCTCGCTGAGGAAAAAACTTAGTTACGAGAATCGATAATTTCAATTAGCGCTATTCGATCCTGGAAACACATAGGTGAGGATGAGAAAAATGGGGGAACCCTGTGAATTTTTTTGTTTTGTTTTTGCAAGGTAGGAATTAACATATTCAAGCGCGCTGTTTTGAGGGAACAAAACTGTCGACCGCGCTATACGTGTCTGGCAAAATTCTACGAAAACTTGAAATGGGGGAACCTTGGAAGTTTCTGCACCCCTGATTTCTTACACGATCTCAAAGACCTATATCTTTAGGGGCGTCATGCATTTTATTCATGGTGTCTGGGATTTTTCACCAGGCTCATTCCCTGATTTTTAGGAGTTCATTCCCTGATTTTCAGGAGTTCATTCCCTGATTTTCAGGAGTTTATTCCCTGATGAGAAACCAAAGTTTTCTACCACTTCCCCGGGATTTTCTGGGGGAAAAGAATATGATTCTCCAGAGTTCTGTATAATATGAATTTCGATTTCAATTCATCTTTCAGTCATTTCTCTGGCGCACATTCAAATGTTTAATTCCGATAGCGTTCTTGATGTTTATACTATCCGGTCGATGAAAGCTTCTCCATTTTTTTGATGCTTTGAAGCTTCAAGTGTGTCATACAAAAAGTCAATTCGTAGCGCAGCGCTCTGAGCGCTCGGTCAGATTAGACCGCCAAATTGAAAAACGAAATGATCCCTAAGCGGTAGAAGAGGAGATTCCCGGTTCCTAGAACAGATTCCCCGATATTTCCATGTAAATTTTCATTCCCTGATGAATCCCGGTTTTTTTCCGTTCTAGACACCATGATTATATTCTAGTTGGGAAAAATAATTAACACTCAAAAAGTTATAAAAATGAGAAATGTGAAATACTACATGATATCAGGAAAATACAAGAGGAATTCTGGTCATGAGGCACGACAAGGCGGCATCTACAAGACGATGAAAAAGAACAAAAACGAGGGATCCTACGTAGAGTCCCTTTATACCCAGAATTACGACAACTCACTTTTGGTTGGGCCAGGGTTGGGCTGAAAGTGGCCTAAAAAAAAATCCAATTCTGATTGGTTCTCGCTCATGGAGGCCGAAACGAGTGCACCAAGATGGCGGTACCTCGAATGTGAACAAGAATAATGAAAATATTACCTAATTGTGGTTTATCAAGAGTAAATTGTTATTTCCATCGGTCCAAAATGAAAA